GACTTCCTTGTATGCATATGGATATTATCCTGTCACTGACAATATTGTACTTCAAGATGGATCTAGCAATGACTTTTTTAACTATGAAAGCAACTCCATTTTTCCTCACCTTTTCATCTCCAGAGTAATATACCATATGATCATCCCACTCATAATGCCCCATGCCAGTCCATCTCATCTCACTAATTCCTAGTATGTCAATATTTAAGCATTCCATTTGTTCCTTAACAATATCTAATTTTCCTACATTCATGGTTCTCACATTCCATGTCCCAATCACTAGTGTCTGCTTACAACTGTTCCTCCTCCTTTGTATTTCCATACTTGAAAGTTCAATCTCAGTTGCCCTTTCTGTTATCTATATGTCTGTTGTACATAGGGTTTTCAGAGGCCTGCTATTTCAGAAGTGGATGGCCAATCCTTCTTCCTGAGGTAGACACTTAATCTTCAATAATAATCTTAAATGTAAATGGTCGAAAGATCCTGTGCAAAAGGCAAAGAATGATAGAATAGATTAATGACCCATCCATTCGTCCATTTGCTGTCTACAAGAAATTATATCACTACACATCAATGAATGAATGAAAACCCAATCCTGCTGTAAACTTTCATTAAAATCACAATTAAGGGGGGGAAGAAATACATCTTACATTTAAGGTCATAGACTGACTAAAAATAAAAGTATGGCGACTTGGATGGCATAATGCTAAGAGAAACAAACCACTAAAACATAAAAGTTATTTTAAAAAAGGAGGGGGAAGGATATAAGGACAAATATTTATGATCCCTCTTGCATAAGAGGACAAGAACAGATTCTCTCTCCATCTATCTATCTATCTCATTCTCTCATTGCTGCTGAATAAGAACTGACTCAGCTATTCATTCAGAGGTGTTTTGGAAGCTGTAAATTTCACAGGAGGAGATGACCTATCTTTCTCTCATGGAGCTGCGAGTGGATCTGCGCCAGCTGAGAAGTGTGGAGAAGAAAGTAAGCTTGGATCTTATTTTATTCCCTTTTCTGTGATGGGATAATTGGCATGAGGTGTGCATGTAGTGAGTAGGTGTAGATGGGTAGAAGCCTCGTGGTACACTACACTAAGCATCAGACTGCTAACCAAAAGGTCTACAGCTTGCATCTACCAGTCACTCTGTGTGAAGAAAGAGAAGACAGTCTGCTTTCTTAAAGATTTACCACTATGGAAACCCTGAGAACAGAGGGCCCACCAAGACTATTGCCCTGAGCTACTCTTTTTTTTTTAATTATTAAATTTTATTAGTATTAATGAACATTTACAGGGATTTTGGGTTTTCATTCCTTCATTGCTGTACCATTCTCTCTACCCTCTTCCCCAGTTTGTTCTTCTTCCCCCGCCCTCCAAATGTCTGTTTTAATTGTCCAATTGCCACAGTGCTTGTCAAAGCCAGTTCTGTTTAATCTCCTTTGTGCCCTGAGCTACTCTTAAAAGCCTAGAACCCCTAAGATCACTTTTTTAGCAAACTGTGGCACACAATATAAAGGATATTACTCACAAGCTTGGTACACTCCTTAAAAAGCATCTGTATGAGACTAAAAGGTCAACCATTACTCAAAAATGAGAAGATAGGAAGGCAAAGAAATTAGAATATTGGAAATGGAATAAATAAAACACAAAGAGAATGCTGACCCATCATTGTAATAAATGTAGCTCATATCCACGAACAATGTATGTGGAAACTGTCAAATGGAAAATTAACTTGCTGTGTAAGGCTTTACTAAAAGTCTTTTATTAATATTCAATAAAACATTATTAAATATAAAGGGAAGAAATAGCACAAGCCAAATAAGAAGAAACTCTGGTGGCTAAGTGATAAGGGGTCACACTGTCAGCCCAAAGGCACTCAGTTAAAATCCACAAGTTCCTCTGAAGTAGAAAGACAGGCAGTCTCCTGTATAATTTACTGTCTCAAAACCTGCTGGAGGGTCAGCTGAGTTGGTTCTGACCCAATGGTACATAATAACCACAATAAGCTAATGGATTTTTTTAAGTATGTCAGTGCCACCACCTCAATCCAGTGAGTATCTTCCAGAAAAAAACAGTGTCACTCATGCCTGCTGGGGAATGTTGGGGAGGAAAGGAGGGCCTCTGGCCAGGACAGATCGCCTAAGCTCCAGATAAGGGCAAGCCTCTCAACAGCCTTTAATAAGGGGTAGAGAAAGCTCTCCTGTGTTTGGCTGTACCGGCTTGAGAAAGCTCACCACCTGGGAAGACAGCTGCCGCATCTGTTGAGCTGGGAGTGGTCCACATGAGGCTGAGGTTCTCCTATCCAGTCCACATGTCCCACATCTATAAGCCCACCCTATCCTGTCTTCCTGTTTACTTGTTGGTATATAAGTGTGCTGCAGTCTCCAATAAAACTGAGCTGGATTGCCTCTCTGATCCTCTCCCAGAGTGGTGTATCTCTGTCGTGCTTGCCCCCATCAGTGTGTCACTATTAGTTGCCAGTGAACAGACAGCAACAAATGTCAAAAAGCTATTAGCCACATCTTAAAAGTTACAATTTACTTTGTTTAAAAGAGCTTAGAAGACTTAAACAGAGGTAGTCCCACACATTCATGACTGTTTTGTCCATATGGCATATCATTAGTAGTATGAAGTAAATGTTGTTTTGTTGTTGTTGTGTACCGTTGAGTCACTTGCAACTCATAGTGACCCTATGTACAACAGCTCTGAACCCTGCTCTATCATGAGCCAACCTTATTGTCTTTGACATACCTACCCCCATTACCCCAGTCACTGAGTCAGTCCACCTTATCTAGGGTCTTCCTCTCTTGTGCTGTCTCTCCACCCAAGCATAATGTCCCTGTCCAATGATTGGTCCCTTCTTGCAACATATCCACTGTTTATCACATGAAGCTTCGAAATCCTTGCCTCCAAGGAACAGGCTAGTTCACCCTATCCATGAAGAATCCATTTATTCTCCTAGCAGTCCATGGTATATTCAGTATTCTTCTCTAGCATCACAGCTCAAAGGCATCAATTCTACTTCTATCATCCCTAGTCTTGGTTCAGATTTTTGATGCATAGCAAGTGATTGCAAAGACCATGGTCTGGATCAGGCACACCTTAGTCTGACTGACATCATTGTTCAATATTCTGGAGAGGTCCCTTGACAGCAGACTTTGTAGTGCAATTTATGTTTTTATTTCCTGGATGCTGGTACCAAGAGTGTTGATTGTGGACCCAAGCAAACTAAAGCTGTTATGGTCTCAATCTCTTCGCCATCAATCATGATGCTGCCAATTGGCCCAGTGGGTGAGAATCTTTGTCTTTGTGATGTTGAGCTTCAATCCATATTTAAGGCTGCAGTCCTTGACCTTCTGCAGCAAGAATTTTGGGTCCGCCTTGGTTTCAGTGAGCAAGGTGTGTGATCTGAATAACGTAGGTTGTGGTAAATACAATGTAAAAAATAATTTGTTTATATGTAATGCTTAGAAGGAGGAGTGGCGTCCACTTCCAAAATAGCTTGCCTCCGGAAACCCTATGAACCTGGAAAGAGGATGAAAGGCATCCAAGCATCGAGGACTCTCCTTCATAGGGTCACTATGAGTTGCCTGTGACTCGACGGCACTTAACAACAACAACATGTAATGCTACCAACCCCGAAAGGCAAATAAAGAGCAGATTGATAAATATACTGATATAAAGGGTACTAAAAAGAATAACTAAAAAAAATATTTTGTATTTATGTCAAAATTTACTTAGAATCAGTGGAACATGAGAATGTGATAAGTGGGAACTATCAATAATAGCTCCAGGTTAAGAGGTATGTATGTATGTGTGTTACTACTACTTCCATACAGATGTTTTTATTGTTGTTAACTGGTTGCCACCTTAGTAGCTGATAACTTAATGTTAAACTAAAATTTTGAAGTTTAGAAGTCACATTCAAACACACACAGTCTACTTGATTAATTTGAACCACTATCAAATATTCTCTTTCTTAAGAAGCAGTAACAGAAAAGGACAAACATGGTTTTGCAGTCAGAGAGGCTAAGATTGAAATCTGGCTTTATCACTTAGTAATTCAAAGCTGCATGAGCTTTGGCAAGTTAACACTGTGACTTTTAGCTTCCTTCACAGGAAAAATGGGCTATAACATCGACTTCACAACGGTGTGAGGATTCAATTGTGTAATTTATGCAAAGTGCTTCTTATAATATTTGGAAGAGAACCAAGAAGGCACCTTAAAAATTGTTTCTTGTGTGTATACTAAAAATCCTTTAGTATCATTAATAATAATAGCTGTAATAATAAGACAAATTGTGAAAACAGATAACACTTCCTTTTGCACCAGAGATTTTTAGGTCATGTTTGCTTGTTTGCCTTTAAACACCTTGGTAAGAGATTATAAAATATCTTCTCTGCATGCTCTTTGAATAAGTAAGAAAATTTGATGGGTACTGCTGTTGCACTCTATAGCGTCTTAACAACAGGCCTCATTCTATTTTTTTTTTTCGAAATTCTGCAAATGTCTCCATCTCTCCCTCCACCTTTTCTCCTTGGACCAGCAGAAGCTCACCTGAAAATGATGTTGCTATGAGAGCTGATTTTTCTGCCCCCATACAGTGTAGAGATCCAGGAGGGCCTCATTCTCACACCCCACTGTTTGAAACACTCGTCAGACAACTCCTTCAAGTCCCACGAATGAGGCTCAAACATGTCATCAATACCATTAGTACAAAAGGGCATGATTATTTCTGTACAGGCCTGTAAAAGCAAACCAAGAGAGGATTCAAAAGGAAAACTGAAGCACAAGAAGGTTAAATATTATCCAAGGCAACTATTTAGTGACACCACACTTTTAGGCCAATCATTCTGGCCTCTAAGCCTCTGTTCTCTACCTCTATGTCATACAATCTCTCATTGTTTATAGAAAAATTTAGAAGAAAAGTCACATAAGTTATGATTATATATTCCTTCTTTGTAAACTGTTTTCTTTCATAACTATTATAATATTTAGTTCTCAAATTTATTTTTTAAATATTATTATTCTCTTTGTACTGCTGAAGGAATACTTCAGTGCTTTGTACTGCTCAGAGAGAGAATCCAGTCAGATGTCCTTTCTTTAAGTGTGGTGTCCTGAGGGTGCAGTGGTCAGCTGTTAACAAAAAGGCATGGGTTCATACACCAGCCACTCTACTGGAAAAAAAAAAGCCATGGCAGTCTATTTCCTTACAGATTTACAGGCTTCAAAACCCTATAGACAGGCCATTCTGTCTTACGGGGTTGCTGTGAGTTGGAATTGACTTGAGATCAGTGAGTGGATCTTTTATGCACCCACAGAATATTTCCTTTATAACATTTATCAAGATCTAGTATAATATTAGGGGAGCATTAGTAGCCTACTGGTAAGAAACTGCACTGCAATCCCAAAGGCACATGATTTGAACAAATCAGCTGTTCTGCCTCTGAAAACCCACTGAAGGATCAATCATGAGTTGGTTTCAACTCGGCAGCACACAACAACAAAACCAGTATAATATTGGTTTACTTATATATCTTTCTCATTAGGTTGTATTTGATGGTGAAACAAATGTTATTTATTTATTTATTATTTATAGCACTTAGGACAGTGCCTACCACACAGTAAGCAGTCAACATATGTGTTTTGTAAAGATTACTAAATATATGAATGAATGAATGAGTGAGTGAGTGAGTGACAAAATGTATCCATAATCTCAGAGTGTATAACAACAAATGTGAGATTTAGGTACAAATTAGGTGACAAAATCTTGTGTATTTTCTGTTAGTATAACTACTTGTTAGCATGACTAACAAGCTCTACTTGGAGAAATGATCTACATTTACTTACCTGATAGTTCCAACCAGTGGATCCCAGATTACTAGTGGCCGTCTCTGAGGTATTCAGGCATTTCACCTGGCCTGAGTAATTGTAGTAGACATTCAGAGCTTGGAAAAGGTTCTGCACCAGCACTTCATCAGATACATTGGGATCTCTGAAATACTGGCACACCACCTGCCAGATGATAAAGGGAGAAGAATTAGAATGCTAACAGAAAAGGAGTTTTATTAAATAAGAAAAAAAAATCTGATTTTTAGGTAGTCATAAAACATTTATTGAACATCTAACAATATTTCTTGATAATTTCTACCTCTTAAGAATTTTCCCTTTCATAAATAAAGCTCTTAAGGGCTTCCCAAGCTATAGAAATAGACCATAGCTTTTGCAGGTAAATAAAGTCTCCCCGGTTACCACCCAGGCTTCATTCACCCCCTACAGTCTTTGTGGCAGAACCTCTTCACCACAACATGTTTCTTCCCTTTGCATTTGTAAGAGTATGCCCTCTTCACATCTCCAACTCCACTAATGTCTGGAAAACACTAGCTTAACTCAATCAGATATCACTTCCTCTCTGAGGCCTTTCTTACAAGTGTTCCTTAGTCAGGAAAAACAAACCCCTTCCTCCTTTGTGCTTTCTCAGGGCCTACCTCTATCATAGTAGGTGCATATAAAGAAGTTAGCTGGAAGGCTTTTGTTCTAGGGCTATACTGTATTTATTTGATTCCAAAATGGCTCTTTAAGTACTTAGCATAATATCTGACAATGAAATATTTATTAAATGAATGATCACATTTTTACAAAAATGAAACTCTTACAAAACTTCTGGAGAAATTACACTAAGCTCTAACATCTGTGGTATAAGAAGAAGCCAATTAGGCAACTTCTCAGATCCTAAACAGTCTAACCTCAGCTTACACTCAATACCTGAAACTTTTTTGCACTGGAAATAACAGGCAATATAATCATAACTGAACAATACCAGTAACAACAATAATCAGTACTTTACTGTAATACTCAATAATTATTACATCCTGGATTTACAACCATTTATAATTTGTGATTTTATTCTCAAACAACCCTGTAAGATATATTATTATCAACTATTTTGCCTGGAAATGGAGATTTAGGTTAAATAACTTTATTGAAAGTCACACCACTACTAAATTGTAGCAATTAGCTTTAAAGCTAGATCTCTCTGGGTATACATCACACATCTCATTCTTTACATTACACAACTAAGGAAGTATCATCTTGAAAAACTGCAAATAGCCCCTTCAAAAGAAAACTCACTCAGGTGTCATCCTCTATCAATATCTTAACAAGTGATCAAGTCCTTTCCTATTTCTTATTAAAAATACATAGCACCATAAGCATGTGATAAGAAGAAAGAGAGAAGTCCAGAAAAAAAGGAGAATGAATGATCACACTCTATGCTCCTCAGGGTAGGCTGTGGGCCATAAGAAGAGCCTGGGCTAAGACTCCCAGGTAGGAAAGGATGGTACCAAGAGAGGAAAGGAGCACCTAGGGGCAAACCTAGCCCCTCATCAAAGTTCAGCTTAGGATCTGCTTCCATCAACACTTATCTGAGAAAAGGGAAACTTGAAAAGACCAAAAAAAGTCAATTGTAGAGAAAATTCTAGGCCTCTCCCCAAACATGTTCCTCAGAAGACTATTGGTACTTTATGTTAGGAAATGTTACAAGAGCAAATGTGAGCCATTTTCTTGCTTGCAGGGTGTCTCAGAGCCTTTTAACATCTTAACTGCAATGTAACTTTCTAAGGAAGAAATACAAGTTTTAGAATTGCTGAATGTGAGAGAGACAGAAATTAAGATGGTCAAGCAATAGGAAATACTTTTAAAAAGCAACTGTGCAGCTGTAAGGACTGAGCACACCAGAGTTTGGTGGTGGTGTTTTGTTTCGGTTGTTTTTTGTTGTTGGTTTTTCCATTGGTACTGAGTATATTATCTAAAAGAAGGGGAGGAATTCTCTGCCCCCAAGGCAAAAAGGTACAAATTATGTATTAAACTGTTTTTCTTTCTAAAGATGCATGTATATACATGTTTCTGGTCAGTAAAGTCATAGCAAACATTTTTTACTAAAACCAGAGTTAGATATAATCATGAAAGCCATTTACTCCCTACTCATGCTAAACTAGGCAAAGCACTGTGGTAAAAGATATTTTAACAGGAGAAAAAATTTGCAATCACAAGTTTCCCTAAAGTTCCCACCCCAAAAGGGAACCCCTCAAACAGAAAGGACTTAATGCAAACTTGCCCAAACACACGGAACATACTATATAAAAAGGACACGTCTAGTGTACTTTTAACACAGCATACATTCATTGGTGCCCAGCAAAATAGCAACACCAATATAGAAAGCACTTTGCCTTCATAGCACTAAAAGCTAAAAAGCACACCGTATATATAATATTTTCTTTTTAAGTGGGTATTTATGGCTTTCCCTAGATTAGATCCACTAGTTGAGCCTTAGTATCCATCTGTAAAAATAGTTACAGAGTGGAGTGGACCTTGGGGGAAGGATTATAAAACAATGAAAGAATTTTTCTTTTACTTTTCAAAGAGAAGAGTGTACTGGGGAAGTGGGTGGTAGGGAGAAAAGTACAATACATGAATGGAAATCCAAAGTCTCTGTAAATGTTCATTAAAATTAATAATAATTTAAAAATTTTTAAATTTTTTTTTAAAAAAGGAAAGACTCTAAGAAACAGTAGGACTACATTAGGATCAGTTGAATACAGTAATGAAAGACGACAAACGTGAGACTGGGAGGTAATTTTCACCTGGAGCAGTTAGATAAAGAAAGGACAGCCCTCAGCTGAGTCCCACACCAAGGTTAGCTATGTTAATAGGAAATCATAAGATGGACAGTCAGTTTGAAAAACACTCTACATAGACAAATCCCATACAGTGGGGCCACTGAAGCTGAAGGGCTGAATGTGAGCCAAGTGAGGCTGTAAGTATAAATTCCTATAAAGCTTGCTGTGGTGAAGAAGGATCATGGTATTGGTTACCCTACATCATTGACACAACAGCATTATGCTATAGAAGGGGCTTCTGATGCAGAAACACCCGAGATGTATGCTCTGGGAGGCATATTGGGGTTACGGAATAAAAGAAGGTGTTTCAGGAGAAAAGCCCCAGGAGGGTCAGGAAATGTTCTTTTTCACTCACAATACTTAACATGAAAGAAGAGTTGGAGAAGAGAGTTACACAGTCCTTCCAAGATGTATTCTGCCGCCATTAGCCTTTCCCAGTCTTTTGGGCTGGCAATGTCCAAGAGTCCCATAGGCCAGAGAGGAGACCTAGTTTAATGGATTGTCCTGGGAGGTTGTCAAAACAAAGTCACCAGTAATCCACTGCTTGAGTCTAGTTCTTGGCCTTCTTTTTCTGCTCTGTAGTCTAGAAATATTTCTTTAAAAGTAAAAAAATCTTTAACTGTGAGCAGTATATCAAATACGTCCCCAGGCACTTCATCTTTATAGAGCTGTAATGCTGTCGTGAAAGCTGCCCTGTTAAATCCAGGAATCCGCTCCAGCAATTGCTCTTCAATATACAATTCTTCCAAAGATATATCTTCATTAAAAATAGGCGTGTAAGCTTATTCTCTTCTGTGTCTTCAAACTCCTGGTAGTACCTGCCCATGAAATCTCTTTAAAGTAACTGAATCTCATCATCCATGCTAATGTCCTCTAAATATCCAAACAGAGCATCACATTCTGCATCCGAGGCGAGAAGACATGTACAGCACGAAGCTCTCTTCCTCTAAAGCAGCCACGGCCAGGGGCGCCCCATGCAGGTGGCTTCCTAACCCACAGGAAGTTGGGCCTGGCCTCCACCCAGCTCCAGGGCTTCGAGAGGCATCAGCTGAGCCCAACATGGCTTCTGGCCTCGGCATCAGGCTCCTCGGGCTGTGGCCAGGCCACTCTGCGCACAGTGCCCCTCCGCCGGCTCTCGCGTTGGTTACACAGCAGTGGTGTTTTGTTAGATGTTATCAAGTGTTAGATGTTATCAAATCCATTTTTAACACAAGGCAATCACATGTAATGGTCTAAGACTGCCCGTAGAGCAAACAAAATGGGAGTAGATTGCACAGCCTTTCTCTAAAAATAGCTGAGAGGTTAGTTCATTCAACCTTTCAGTTAACAGCTGAATACTTAACCTTTACACCACTAAGATGTCTATACCAGGGTTTATAATATGCATAAAGAAAGAGAAGTGGGTTAAATTGAGCACGTGACAAACCTACAAAGCATAAAGCAACAGGAAAGGGCAAGATGAAATAAAAATGGCAAAAGTGTTTCACCATTCTGGAAATTCAATTACTCATGGTAAGTCAGACACTTTTAACAGAAAATATTCCTAAGAAATATGTTCATCAGAAATTCTCAAGAAAATACAGAATACAGGCCCAATGACAGTATTTATTATACTATCTATTGCAACAGTTGATCAATATTCTTGACACTAATAGCAGACTCAGCTTTTTAAAAATGCAGCACAAAACTACAGAGTAGACACACAGAATGCAGAGAAGAGCATCCTGTTCAAGTACAGCATGGAGGCTGAGGCAGGGTGACAGGGCGAGCCAGGCGGGGGAAGCGGGGTGACTGATGCACAACACCAAGTGGTGTTAGATGCTGGAAAAGAACGGTGGCAAATGAGTGTGACTCACATGCTGGCACCAGATCCCCTCTGGGAGCTAGAACACTGGGCCTCTGTCAGGCAAAGAAAAGGAGTCTCCATGAATAGCCATCTCTGTAAACAGCAGTTACTGTCACTGCTAAAAAGAAACAAGCATGGCTGGGGACTGGCACTGGCTGAGTATACTTGCTTTTTGGCAGTCCCTGTTACATCATCGCCAAAGCTTTCACCTCTGCTGATAGAAATACCAGGCCCCAATTAAATATTGTGCTGGGCCCACTATCTCCTATGGGGTCAGGTAACCTGCAGCGCACTGAATCCAGTTCCATGCCCTGTAAGGAAGATAGTGACCAGCCTGAGAAAACCAGAATAGAGCTATCTGGAGAAGCATTGAGAAATACTTGAAGCAACTCTAAAACTGGTTATCTGGGTAATTTCCAACCTTTCACCATTATAAATAAAACTATAATAAGTAATCTAGGGACTAAATATTTACATATTCTTAATTTAGG